ACACCCAAATCGAATTACCGGCGGGGGAGGAGTAAAGACGACGACAGTGCACTTCGAATTCTGGACAACATTCTCAAATTTCTGTTACTTTTTAACATTTTAGAGTTCTAAATCATCTTCTTCGCAATCCACATCAGTGAATCCCGTTGAAGAAATTCAGATACCTATTCTAGGAGTAAAGGCGACGGCAGTGCACTTCGAATGGAAGTCAATTCTGTATAAACGCTACTGTTTTTCTTCTAATAGTAAAACAACAAAAACGGTGTCATGACCAATAAGAGATTATATGAGTAGAAGACTTGCTATTAGTGCAAATAGCTTTCTCAGTTTTTCTTAGTGGAACACCAAGTTACGCATGCAAGTGCAGATGCAAATGGATTGAAGCTCTTCTTATCTACTCACAAGCTAATTTCCCGCGAATTAATTAATAAACCGGCACCAATAAGGTGCCTTAAATTATGAGAGTAATGGTAAGAGAGGGAGCTTATAATTCCTTGCATAATCATAAAAATGATGTTCTACAACCAGTTATATGATTTAATAATAAAATTATTTATATTTTTAATTACATTTTTAAGATTTAATTCTTAATTTTTTTGTGTAAAAAAATAAAAATAAAAATGGTGTTTTATTGAAATGAGGAGCTTATAATTTTGTTTTGTACCTTACAATTATTTATGGTCCAAACTATAGAAAACTTTTATAGTAAAATTTTATTATAAGAAAATTTTTAAAGGTTATCAATTTAATTTGTGAAAAGAAAAAAATATAACTTTATAATCGAGGGTGTATGAAGATTTATTATCTAATCTTAGTTTGTGAAGTAAGGTCCATTTGATTTAATAACACTTTCGTTTCCTGTGTTTTGTTTTTGTTACAAAAAATTTAAGTAATCAAAACTTAAAACCAACAACAAAAACTAGAACAAAAAACCGATTTAAGAAGTTTGCAAAACAAACAACAAAATTAAAAACATGTTGTTTATGAAAAACTATCAGTATATTTTTTTTGAAGGAAAAAATAATTACAGCAGAAAACAAGTTTTTATTAAATGTTGTCAAATTTTAACAACATTAAATGTAGGGGTGGGTGTCGGTCAGTTTGTTAACTGAATCAGTCATTTTCAGTAATTAATAAATTTTTTAGTTATTTATTTTACTAAACTGCTAAGCAATCAAAATAGAGCATGTTTATTCGTTTAATGTTATTTTTTTCCAATTTCACCGGTTCAGTTTTGATTTTAAATCGCATTTTAATAGCTTTATTTCAATTTTAAATCTTTCTTTCCAATTAGAGTTTCATGGTGCATTTTTCTTGATTTCAAATGGCCAAAAACAAAACTAATACAACTTAAAACAACAATTTTCCTTTTTATGAAAAAAAATAATAAAATTTTTAAACATTCACAAATAATTGCATATAAAAGAACTAAGAAAATCATAAAGTTTTTACAGTTAAAACATATAAGGAACACATTCACTGAAGGCAAAGCAACAAAGCAACAGGAACTCGAAAATGAGTCACCAAACTAAAAACATTTATTATTTATGCAAAACATTCAGAAATACTAAACCATAAGATAGTTGTCAACTAATCAAACTAAATTTGTCAAGTAACACTACATAACTACTTAGATCACTATTAGTTTTTTTAAACTAGAAAGTAAAAAACTGTATAGAATAGTACGTAGCAAGCCACCATCATCCCAAAAAAGCAAATGACTTGATGCATCCTCAAACAAGCACGCCATTGGTTTTTCTCTTTCTTCTTTGGGTATTTGTAGGTTAAGTTGTCCAAAAAGCTACAGCAACAATTAAATCTTATAAACTGTACGAAAAGGAACTCTATCAATCATTCATGGCTCCTAATCCTATTTACTTGGCAAGACCACTTCACACCTCAATTAGCAAAATCAAATA